CGGAGACGCCAGTCCTCGACTCGATGGCTGAGCATGTGTCTCCGCTTACGACAGTATATGTCTGGGTGCATCCGCCACCTCCACCACCACCTCCGCTAGGAGTGGGACCAGAGGACGTGGTTGTCGAGGTGGAGGTGGGACCAGAGGGTGTGGTCGAGGAGAAGACGGGTGTACCAGTTTCGCACGCGATGGACCCGCCGCAGGCTTGACCGGGGTCAGGCGTGCCGTTGCACGTCCAAGAGGACTATGGAAGACGATTAGGAAAGTAAAGCCATGGGCGATGCGGTAGGCCTACAGATTGCTGCTGGGGAACTCCAACGGCCTGATAAGGATCGACACCAAGACATTGGGCCATAGTCACGAGCTGAAAATTTACTCAAGACAAACGTTATTTGACCAAACAAGGTTGAATTACACTATAACCTTTGCTCTGGAAAAGTTTGATGGCGAAAGGTACAAGCGTGTTGGCCGTTGTCTCTGGTCGAGAAATCGGTTCAGGAAATTGGCGGAGAATACAGAGTTGAAAAAACTTACCTTCGGTTTCGTGCTCCAAAATCAAGGCATTTTGGACCTTCGCGTTTGCGACATCATTATAAACCGCCTCTGACTGGGCTGTGGTATTTCCATCTGCATCACCAGTATCCCAGTCCCACAACGCGAGACTCTGTCCCCGGGCAGCCGCGATCGATTGGATGTTGCTGTTGTAATCTCCGTATGGTGGGCGCATGAACGCCGGCCTGATGCCGATGATGCGCGAGAAGGCCTCCTCCATGCGGAACATCGAGTCCTGAATCTGCGCTGTCGAGAGAGTGGTGAGGTCGGCGTGAGACCAGGTGTGACTCCCGATCATATGCCCAGCAGCATACGCGTACTTAACGTCGGAAATGCGATCGGCGTTGTAAATGCAGTCCCAGTTGTTGCCGTTCATGAAGAAGGTTGCCTTGGCACCGGCAGCAGTGAAGTGGTCCGAGATGCTGCGGAGGTAGATGTATGGACCTGAATATCGTTCAGGAAGAAAGAGTTGAAAAATCGTGAAAGAATACCATCATCCTGCGAGAAAATGGGCGTAAATCAGGGATGCAGGAATGAGCACATACGAAGGTAAGAGCAATGTCGTTCGCGTTGATGCAGGCGTCATAGACTTGAGGAGTGGCACGGTGCTCCTGGGAAGACAAGTTATAGAAGGGATAGCATCCGAATTCAATAAATGCACCAAGTTAGGACGGCCCCAGGCAGCCGAAGCGGTCAAAAGGGTGAACAGCACTGGACCTATGGGCATCACTATTGAAGGTGGAAGACGGGAGAGGGGTAGGTCTGAGGTTTGCGGAAACACAGGCGACTCAATTTACAGCGCACCGCGCAGCTGCATTTAAAGTGCATTGTCAAAAATAGGTATAGTCTGGCCATCTGCATTTAGAACGAAGAACCCGAAGTGCCGCTGTACCTGTCAGTACATAAGAAGCTGTTTTCACGAAGATGGACCTCCCCGTAAATCGCGGTCTGGACCACGGCTATTCTTGGCGGATTTGAGCTCTGAATGATCCAGCGGAAGCTTCTCGGCATGCCCATCGTTACTTTTCAGCTCCCTGCGCGTAGCTTCAGATTCGTTTGGGAAGATTTTGGGATACAGGATCCGACTAACATCAGAGTTTTGACATAACTTGCATGATTCTTATCCTGGTACCTTGTTCGGGCTTCTTTGACCTTGTACTGAGGTCAAAGAAGCCCGAACAAGGTCTAGACAAGGCCTGAAAAGGCCGCAAGATCATGAGGCCACAAAAAAATCACAAGCTCCGAGTCACTGATTGCTTCTAAAAATAACTCGATTTTCAAGTCACTACCGGCATACAGGATTTGCTATCTCAGCCAACATCCTCTTGCGGTGGAAAAGCTAAGATATCCTCGCCGGTACCATTATGAACCGGTTCCACGAGAGCTGCGCAAATGCAGATTTCTGTGCGATCAAGTGGAAACGGTTGAGCATGCACTGTTCTTCTGCAACGGGTCAGAGGATCTGCGAGAAAAACGGAGGGTCTTCAAACTGGGAGTTTCAACGAATGTTCCGGAGGTGTTGGCTATTAATCCTTGGAATGCGACGGAAGTCCTGAGGAAGCTCGTCTTTGAGAGAGAGACAGTGTGTCAGTTGGCCAAATATGTCCATCGGGTCTTTGCGATCTTTGAAACGGTCGCTATTAAGTGGCCGGATGGGTATTGATGGGATGCGTCGGGGGCGAGGGGATAGAACGGGTAACATACGGTACTAACAACTACAGCTCGCGGATTTAGATCTACAACCTTAAAAACGGTGAGCTCGTCGAAGATAAGTGGGCTGTAGTGTAGTGGGTAGGGCATATAGGCCGATGTACTAAACACTACACCCCTGCATGTTCCGAAATGGGACCACGCAGGGTAATATATTATCCTGATACTTATCCTATCATTGCCGATGGATTGAGCTGAATACACCTCAATATTTAATAAGGACTTGTCAACTTGTTGCCAAGCCGCCAAGGCCAAAAAAGTCGCAAGGCAATTCCATGAAAAGGGGTGGCGTCATGTCAAAAGTCGTGGTCACCGAAGAACATAAAGAAAGGGCGGCGGAAAAGACCCAGTGAAAAGAAGTTGGCCATATAGTATGCCGAAATATTCATACATTCGAGTCGTTCGGGCCAGCGTGAGCGTCATCGACGAAAAGGAAGCGGGATTTTCTCAGTAAGTGCTGTGGGGTTTGACAGATGTGATATTAATACCTCCGTTTCATTACCCGCACACTGATTGCCCCTGAGGTCCTTCGGGCGTTAATTATAATTATCCGTTCTTTTAACGAAATCTCTCGAATGAGATTGTACGTGTTTGGCTCCATCCCCATTTGTGTTATCCCCGTTTCTCTTCCTCCTCTCTGGTCCTCAATTTGCCATGTTTCAACTCCCACAAGCTCGCAGTAGCTTCACAGCTATTCTCCATTTGCAGCCACGGAGACCCGTCTTCTCCGCCTTTCTGCACATCCACCAGCCCTGGATCAAGCCTTCTAAGCCCTGCGGTCGCATCTGGAATAGTTGGTGCAAGCCTTATGACCTACGCTGCTGTGCCGCAGTGCGAATTAGTCGCTGTTTCGGGGCTTCCTTCGAAAAGAGGCTCGGATCCACAGTCATACGCCGCAGGCGCATTGACAAAAATCACTGCAGCCATGTATGCTCTGCCAGCCTATAAAGATGCGTGCAAAGTTTTTCCTCCTAGTCCCCAGCCTCTCTCTCCTCTGGCTTCGAGTCAAACTGCGAATCGAATGCACTGCTTTCGCCCGTCAACATATGCTCTTTCTGGGACCTGATGGCTCCTCAATGACTTTATGGCTTTGATCCGGATAGTCTTCACGCGGGAATATTGCTGGGCAGAATGATGCATGCTGTATTCTTCATTTCTGGAAAGAAATTGCTTCTGTCAGATCAATCAGCAATGTATAGACGATGTGCATGTTGGTGCGGGGACTGCATTGGATGTCAATTTATTTAATGTCAATGAGTTCATATGATTTCTGTTTTAATGGCAAACAGCGGCGGCTTAGAAGGCGACAACCTCGGGTTCCCATGGCATGAGTGACTTACAGCCGGTGATTCGAATGATCCCAGGAGCGTGGCATTCGGGGCTCTGGGCTCACTATTCTTCCACTCCTCTTTTGCATTTCCAGAGTGAGAATTGCGCTTTGATTGTTGTTTCCTTAGGCAGAAAGGTTCGGTATATCCTAGTAGTAAATCGAGCGACTATCTACATTGGACACATGATCCGGTAGGACACCAGACCACAGTCCAGACTGAACACGCAGAGTGGCGCGATGTGGTCAGAAGCAAGCTATATGGTGATGTCTGCCTATGGCCTCAGGCCTAAACAAGCATCCACACTACGCAAGTGCAACCAGATGCACTAGTGCAACATGTTTTCGTATTCTACATTGAAGCCGTGAGGTTCGCCAGCTGCTGTACATGCATATGTGTGAATTGTCTTAATGACCGGACATAGACTAGATTCTCGGGCAGGTTACTAGTATATTTTTTACCAGCATGTGACGAACCTGAAGGGATTTTCGTTCAGCCGGAAATATCGACCTGGATCGAGATGGAGACATATCCAAGTTCACTGCAATGGATGTAAAGCCCCCCTTGATTAATAGTAAATCACCCACCGTGCGTCAGAGTTTGCGTATGAAAGGTGGAGGCTGGCGGGTATGGATGAATGGTACTGATTTCTTTTTTTCTCTCGTACTTACACGGAAGTCTATGAGATGGTCTAATTATGTTTGGTTCATTAGATTAAAAATATGCAAAGTCCGAGGATGAACGTTCAAATTTTCTTCAGGGAATGCCGCACCTGAAGGGGTTTTTTTTGTTAAATGTCATCGAAAGGGCGGAAAGCCATGTTGATTAAATGGTAAATCGCCATCAGCAGTTGGAGATACTGAAGAGGTTTGATTCCTCCCGAGGGCATACAGAGACTGCTACAGTATTTTGTATTTTTATTCGCCCAGCCCCGCATCGACCTCTAAGTGGATCTCAACAAAAGAGAATTATTTGGGTGCTGGATTGGATTTTCTGAAGCAAATGAATGGATCTTGTCCATCTCGCTGCATTATCTGAGACCTCAAATAAATAATGGGTTTCGTAGGAGGTAATGACCACATCAAGGTTCATTGAGAAGGCACAAAGCCCTCGTTGATTAACGGTTTATATGTTCATTCAACCACAAGTCCAGTGAGAGATGGAGGTTCAAATCTTCCCGGGAGCATGGCGCGGGAGTTGTGAATTTCTTCCCCCTCCTACAGGGAAACAGTGAAGTGCGAAAGGTGGTCGGCATTTTGTTGATTTTTGAATAAATATCTACGTACATTCCAATGGCCGGAGATAGTTCTACGGGCGAGATACGGAATTCTTCGGAGTGCGTGGGAACTTGAAGACATTTTGTCGGAGCTCGAGATGGGACCGTATCAAGATTCATCGAAGAAGTATAAAGCCTATGTTGATTAAATGGTAAATCACCCACAGAGATTCAGCGAAGTCCATGACTCGAATGGGAGATGGAGGTTCGAATCCTCCCGGGGGCATAGTATGGCGATCCTTTTGCAAAAAAAATAAACAGCAATATTTTTTGGTAGATCAGTGAAACTTACTGAGTTGGGCAGCGCAAAAGTTTGAGGTTAGCTCCAAGAGCTTGCAATTTGACTCCGAGAGCTTCATTTCATAGAATATTTTCTGGTAGATCAGCGAAACTTACTGAGTCAGGCACCGCAAAAGTTTGAGGTTAGCTCTGAGAGTTTGCAATTTGACTCCGAGAGTTTCATTTCATGGAAAGTTTGAATGACGCGACGTGCGATAGTTTGACTCTACAGTGAAATTTTCAGATTTTCAGAGAAACTCTGGCATGCAATTAGAGCAACGGCGACCAGACGTGCCCGCTCGCTGTCGGGCGCGTGTGGCGCGCATGGCGGCACTGTGCGCGGCTCGGATCACCGCACCGATATTTGGTGCTGCTTGGCTACGGCTTCAGGAACTCCACGACCACCACCGCCAGTTCAGTCGTGCGAGTTCTGCATCCACATTACTATCCTAGTTCTCTTGTTGCTCCACACCCGCCGCCGCCCTACTGTATTCTGCCCTATGTATAATGTGAAACAACATTTTACAGTGATTTATGGTATGCGACGAATGGGAGTACGCCAAACGCCAAAGCCATGTTGAGTGGGCCCCGCTTGGTGGGCGCGAGGGGCTGGGCAGCGGAATGAGCGCGACACCCCTCCACGGTCAGGGACCATGGCATCGCTGTTGCAGCGTGAAGAGTCTCGTGCAGAAACTCCGCTAGGGGCATGTAGTCATCGCTGGGCTTGGACCAAGGGTACGAGGAGCTGTAGGCGGGGTCTGGAACGCGGCCCCGAATGCGACGCCGGACACGGCGAGTTATCCTACAACGCAAGATTAATTAGAAAAGCATATTCTCGAAGAAAAAAATGTATTGAATTCACCTGTATGAACTAATAGGTAGCCTCAGGGGATCCCATGAGCTGATCCTGCTGCGCGATATTTGAGAACTACAGCTGGTGGCCTTCGCCACTGTACATCGGCTCGGTACTCGGTGCGGCGGGGACACTCTTGCGCTCCCGCTCCACAAATGCTTCAGCGGGAAGTGTAGAACTCCTTATAAGCCCGTGATTCAAAGCAGGCCGCACACTTGACGCCAGTACCGGCGGTTCCGCCTGCACCAGGAATGGCTGCGCAGCCTTGCCGATGTTGATTTTGACAGGGTACGGCCGGTCCTGAGTAGACTTGGACGCGAGTATGAGTGTGGAGGTGATGGGTTGAGGAATCCTCGAGAACTTGCAGGCATGCATGCAGTGGTATTCACTGCATTCCGACCCTTTCTAGACTCAGTGGGACTAACTTTGTCTAGGGTCAGTCTAGTGACCAAACACGGCTTGACAGAGCCTGTGTAGGCTCTTAGACAGATATTTTGCCTAGGAGTCGCCAGGTCTGTGTAGCCTCTGTGGAGGTGAGTTAGGGGTCCCTAGACTTAGTCTGTCTGGCCCAGCGTAAATCACTGTAGGTCAGTTTGGGTGAGTGTAGGTAACAAACATACTTTCATGCCGTTTCTTCCAAAATCTTGATCACGGTGTTCCGTTGATCATCGACGCATCAACCTCAACCTTCTTCGGAGCTAAGATCCTGCCATCACGCATCGGGTTTCGTTTTTGGATCTTTCTTCCAGATTGCGCTATTTCCCATGTCCTGAATGCTTGTATACATTGTGGGAGGATGTTTAACAGCTTATTTTGGAGCAACAAGCAGATGGCGGATCTGTCTAGGTACTATACCGACCTAGACCGACCCGAACTGAACTGAGCTGGGCAGACCCAATCTGACCTACCCAGATGTAGACAGACCTACAAAGAGCGTAAACAGACCTAGACAGACTGTGTCTAGTTACCTAGGCACAGATCTGTGTGTAGGTATGTCCAGGGTGCCTAGACTCAACTAAGGCTAGAAGGGGTCGGAATGCAGTGATTGAGAGCCAGTATCCCTAGTGATTGCTAGATGCCAGAGACCAGAGGACATGAACGAGAAGATGTTGTCGGTCGTGGAGTTCCTGAAGCCGTAGCCAAGCAGCACCAAGTATCGGTGCGGTGATCCGAGCCTCGCACAGTGCCGCCATGCGCGCCACACGTGCCCGACAGCGAGCGGGCACGTCTGGTTGCCGTTGCTCTAATTGCATGCCAGAGTTTCTCTGAAAATCTGAAAATCTCACTGTGGAATCAAACTATCGCACGTCGCATCATTCAAACTTTCCATGAAATGAAACTCTCGGAGTCAAATTGCAAACTCTCGGAGCTAACCTCAAACTTTTGCGGTGCCTAACTCAGTAAGTTTCGCTGATCTACCAAAAAATACTCTATGAAATGAAGCTCTCGGAGTTAAACTGCAAACTCTCAGAGCTAACCTCAAACTTTTGCGCTGCCCAACTCAGTAAGTTTCGCTGATCTACCAAAAAATATTGCTGTTTATTTACAAAGGGAGCGCCATAGGCATAGTGGTCATTTTTTATGTTCCTACATGGAACTCTGAGGTTCACGGGGCACTCGACATTTGTTCCTTTTTAAAAAAAAATCTGCACACATTGCACTGTCTGGAAATATAGGAGTTGAGGATGTTCACCGGGTATAATATATCCCCCCCCCCCGGGACTTGAGGAGAGTGTTCTTTGCGCCAATCCAGATGAAGAAATATCAGAGTCCATTGCAAGGATATAAAGCTCTCGTTGATTACAGCTGTTCCGGAAAATAATGAGACTGGTCAGTTTTTTTTTGGCCGGTTCCAATTCAGAAGATCGAAACCGGCAGTCAGAATTTCAATCCCCGAAATGGAAAATCACCCACTCCCCTTAGGAGTTCCGAACAAGTCCAGTGTGAGAGGTTCGAGCCCTCCCGAAGGCATGATTCAGTGATCCGCCAGTGTGCATTTTTATCTTCCTACATAGAACCAGTGAAGTCCACCAGCTGGTGGACATGTGTTGATTTTTTAAAAAGATATCTGCGCACATTACAGTGTCCTTCGCAGCCCAACATGAATGGAGGTTCAATTCGACAGGAAGGAACCATGGCAGGAATGCCACACTGCTTGAACCACTTTTTTTAAGCAGACCCAGCTGAAGCAATAGCAGGGTCCATTGCAAAGGTATATAGCCCTCGTTGATGAATAGGAACTCGCTCGCTCCAGTTAGAATATAGGAAGAAGGTGAGTGTGAGGGACGGAGGTTCGAATCCTCTCCAGGGCATGGGCCAACGATGGAGCTTGCATTTTCATTTTGCGTTTTTCTTCCAAAATTTCGTTTATTTTTACATAGGCCTTTCTCTTCAATATTGTACATACACACGCGGATCCTTCTTTTGCAAGCGGTCAAAGCGACGGATAGCGCGATCCGTCGGCCCGGAGCGGCGATCAGCACGTCACGGTGTGTGATCACCTAGCTTGCAAGCCACCACTGCGTTCTCTGCAGCTGGCTCCTGGGACTCACGGTGCATTCACGGAGCTCTTATATTCTTTCAGTACTGATTCAACCCGACCTCGCATTCGGGGACTGTCTCTCAGTTCGTCTAAGGCTGCCACGGTGCTTGCAAGTTTCTGAGGAAACCTGAATACAGTCATAACATCGACTTTGACTTGGGATGGCAACGGATAAACGATGCATACTGGTAGTGGGAGCCATCCTGTACGTTCGCAAGCCACTTTTTCCAGGTGAGCCTCCACTTCTTGCATCGCCCGCGGCCCAAGACTTTTGTAATAATTTGTTAATCTCGGACGCAGTCTTATTATGACTCGACGTTCATGGGCCGCTCTTCCGTCTCGTCCTAGCCACGCACTGACGCAGAGTAGCGCTGATACATGGGCACAGCGGCTCGTTTTAGCCGCGCGGCCACCCTCCGGGCAATGGGTCCTGGTTTTGTCTCGTCTGCACCGCCGGTGTCTTCTTGATATACTGAACGCGCATCCGTGCTCGTACATTTGAAAGATCAAGCTGTTGAAGAGGGTTGAGGCCTTCAGTTCTTGCAAAATATCAATAGGAAAGCAGCTTGAGTGACGGGGGAGATTCAAGCGAGAGCCTGGGGCGGGCAGATGAGGTGACGGGTCCCAGAAAATTAGTTCTCTTATACTGCAGCATGCCACGCAAGACTACGTGGCCGCAGCATTTCTGCCTGGCTGTGGCATTGCGGAAAATCCGTTTCTGGATTTGTTGAACTGCGGCACAGTTGCTTCTGGTCTTGCGTTCAAGCAATGAGGGTTGCACATATTTCTGCGGAATGTCGAAATTGAGGTGCTTTGCCGCAGTTGAAGGTCAGGAGGTACAATCCCATGGTGTATAAACGGAGCTCTGTGGCTGGAAATGGAATATAGCTGTAAAGATACTGCGCGTCCGCAGGAGTTAAAAAAAGCTGTGAATGAAGGACCAGAGAGGAGAGACAGAAATGGGGATACACTATGACTGTGTTTACTGGACAAAAATGTCGTGCAACTCTATGCAACTCTGTTTTTGGCTATGCAATTCTGTGCAGCTCTGTGCAACTCTGTGCCAGGTTGTGCAACTCAATGCAATCACTGTGCAACTCGATGCAGTCGTTGTGCAATTCAATGCAACTCCATTGCTGTTCAGATATTACAGTTGCTTTGAAAAGTGCACAAGACTGCACAAGACGGCACAGAATGTCATAAGATGTAATTGCACAAAACTGCACAGGCATTTGCATTACATCGCACAAGCATGTGCACAAAGTTGCACAAAGCTGCACAGAACTGCACAACGCTGCACAGAGTTGCACAGCGCTATTCTCAATAAGGCAATTAGGTTGAAATTCTCCCGATTTTATGCTGAAACAGGTAATAACAGTAGTTTACTGACCAGCACCCTCCATTTGCTCACCTGCCCCTTCCTTCTGTACACCGTACTCCCCATCCCATTTGTTGACGCGATCCCACAACTTGAGGGCATTGTCAGTGTGAAAAACTAAGGAAGCACGAATTCCTTGGAAGTGCAGGTTGAAGTGGGTCAACCGCGCAGACA